CATCTCGCGGCGACGCTCCAACAATATGTTGTGCTCTCCTAGCAACGATTGCTTTCTGCAATGAGGCCCGCACCAACACACAACCTTCGAGCTTGGAGCTCGGTGAGCTGCGTTCCAAACCACCCAAGGAACAAGCCGACGATCAAGACAAGTTGCAAGCACGAAAAGTTTCAATCACGACTGTCTCCGAAGACTCCGAACTACACGAACAAGGCAGTCCAGGCATGGGGTGTGAATTTCAGCTCTTTGTTAAGCTGTGGAACGGCTGAACATACGTAACCGAACATACATAACCGAACCCGAAACCTCCAACTCAAAGCCGGACACCAGCACACTATTCGCGCAACATCCGAATTCCCACCACGATACTGGAACAACCAACACATGTTTTGAGCTTTCTGCACAGCCTGCATTTTCTATTGATTGTCATCTTGAGAATTTGAGGCTATGGAGAAGACATCCCAAACAATCTTTCGATGTTAGAATAGAAGCGCTGAAGATCAAAAGTTCGTGAAGGTCGACGAAGAAGCGCTGAATGCCATTGAGGTTAAAGCAAACAGCGTTCCTTGGTTCGTTGCAGGTCATTGATAACCCTCGGTACTCTGGATCCCGTGGCATCATCAAATCAATTTGTTGCGCAGTTGAAAGTGTTTTGATGTTGTTTTCGTATTGGCGGAAAGCCGCTTAAAGAGCCGTCCCGTTCAGTCTAGGGGTGCCGAAGCCATCTATCAGTTGAGGATCGTGGTTCTGCAGTCGCCGCTTTACAAGTCCGACTGTGAAATGCTCAGCCACTGGCACATCTGGTAGTTGTTTGCCAATATTCAAGCCGGAGCCTGTAGTCGGTTCGTTTGGGCACAGGTTTGAATCTGGACAATGCTTCTGGTACATCCTTGACACTGCGTTGGCCGAGCCATCATCAAACATCCCGAGATGCGACACAACAATCTTGTGGGATGCAATAGGGCGCAATCGACTTGTACGACTTTTGCAGCCAATTCGGTCACAAGCAGCCTGCAAGCAGCTTGAGCGATATGTCAGGTTGAGTGAAGACGTGACAGCGCGATCGTTCCCGGTGCACTGATACATGCGCTCCTTCCCACTTGACAGATCTGAGTCTTACACGCTGAGAGTCTGCATCAGGGTGAGGAAGTTTGAGTAAGATAATGTGTACGTGGGAATGGCCATGTGATGCACGAGAATGGCCTCTGCACGAGCCTCGGCCGTTTCCGTTTTCGACGCGCAGCACCTGCAGAATTCCATAGGCATTCCAGCATGATTTCAGCGAGGTCTCCACTGTCACCAAGTCTGAAGTATTGTGCACTCCTCAGATTGCTCCGTTGCGCCGGGCAAATTGCACCGACTTGAGGCCTTCAAATTGTTGTAGCCCTTCGTATGCGGGTTTTCACCGCTAGTAAGCAAGGGAACTTGTGGGATTGCCTGCGTGTTTGTGTAGGCTCCTCGTGGGGAAGGGGAGTCGATTGTGTCTTTTTTGGGGTGACTTGTGTCTTTTGTTTTGGTGTCGCTTGTGTCTTTTTATTTTTTGGAAGCAACAGTCTCGAACGCGAGGCCCCTTGGTAGGAACTGACGGGAGACCCTCGGCTAAGCATGAACATCTACATCTACATCTACATAATTCCACAAACTCTACATATATATACATATATAATGTAATTCCCTTCGTCAGTTTAGCAACCTCCCCCAGACATAAAGAATCATTTTGGGCCTTCAATTTCTTCTGTTAGGGGGTTTTCGGATGGTTCCAGGCTTCACTTTTCCGTGATTTTCCGGAGTTCGGTGAATTTAGCGTCAAGCCAGGAATTCCCAGGCTAGGCAGCGTGGTGCAGATGCAAGGTGCGTCTAGTTGCGTCTCAGGGCCGGCACCCACTAGCCTGGGAGTTCCCGACTAATCACAAGAACTGCTGGCCCTAGCCTGGGAATTGTCTTTCTCAGGCCTGTTCCAAATGGCGGCCCTTGCCTGGGACTTCCAGATTCTAGGTGGCTAAACCCCGAAAATTCCAAACCTGGACTCCCTCGGACGCCGCGCTCCTGTTCAAAATGGCCGCGTCCCAATCCTGAATGCCAGCCCTAGCCTGGTAATGCCTGGTAGTTCCAAATCCGTTCGGGTTGCATTATGGCCAGCCTACCTGACCCCTAATTCGACATAGCTTACTTTTCCTAATTTTTGAACTTTATGCTCGAAACTGGATTTTTTCGGCCGGGAATTCTTTATATTGGGGGGAGTTGTGATAGATGCATGCAGGGATTGCATATACATATACCTAATACCTAAGACCCAAGACCCAAGACCCAAGACTTGAACTTGAACCCTATACCTATTACTAGTACTATTCCTTTTCCATTTCCCATTCTTATTCTGTATAAACATACATGTGTTTGCAGACACGGCAGAACATACAGATGTGGAGACACATGTTATGTGTATGTAGGTGCGCATGTAGCGACGAATTGACGGCACACCACAAGCAAGACAGGACCTTGGAAATTACAATCGCAGATGAGTCAGCAAAATGTAGACGCCGGATCCCCTTGCTTTACCTTAATAAGCCTTAAAAGGAGTAAACCCAGCCCGCAACCCTAATGAAAGCAAGCCCAAAGCAGAAAGAAGTAAAAGGTACGCTTGAAAGAAAGCCGAACCCTAAAGCATAAGCCGAGTAAAGCGACTTCGAAACGTTAAAGCAAGTGAACGGTAAGCTTGAAAAACAGCCGAAACCGCAAAAAAAGTAAACCCAGGCCGAAACCCTAAAAGGAGAAAACCCGGACCGAGACCCTAATGAAAGAACGCAGGAGTAAACCCAGGCCGAAGCCCCAAAAGGAGTAAACCCAGACCGAAACCCCAATGAAAGAAGGCCCAAAGCGAAAAAGGAGTAAACCGACACCCGAAACCCCAAAAGGAGTAAACTCTGGCCGAAGCCTTAAAAAGATTAAACCCAGACCGAAGCTCTGATGAGACACGGCCTAAACCCAGAGAGGTCTTCACATAATGCTCCGACAGACTCTTTTGTGGTACGCATGTCAAGGCTGTCGGACGAGTAGATTGCCAAGCTTGAACCTACCAGTGGACATCGACATCTAGCTTGTTTTGCTCCTGATGCCCTTGTTTCTCGCGCCGTGGATGTCGGACTGTAGATTACGGTCTTGACTCACAGCATCACTCAATAGTTCAAAGCTGCTATCTTGTACCTGGATGTAGCTGCCTTTGAGCAATTGGGGTTTTGACTTGACGAGTTGAGTTCTGAGCTTGGCAATGGGTGCAGTACACCGAAATGATTCAAATGGTTGTTAGGGGAATGGAAATTTACACCTTCCTGTACAAAGTTACCGATCATCCCTCGGCGTCTGTGCGAAAATAGTGCTTTGCAATTCCGAGTACATGAATAGCATGATTCGCGGCTCTGCATGAGAGGATGGGAGGAGCATGGGTCTGTGCCAACAACGAAGGGCGCCTGCTGTGCAAAGCTTCCCGGAGATCTCAGTCTTCTGCCGCCACTTCCTTGTCATGCACCGCAACAGGTGTGCAAGGACATGACAAGGCGCACGATGGGCAGTTTTGGGCCGGAGTGCATCGAATTTCTTCATCCTATCCGTCAGCACCCTTCTTGGACCTTGAAACAAGCTTGAAATGTGATTGTAGTGAACCGGTAAACTCAAGGACGATTTGCAGGAACTGCCAAGTGCCGCCAGCATCATCAGCACAGAGCAACCAGGAGCAGGACAAGGCTGCATTGCATGATCGGAGGGGACGTAGAGTCTCGAGAGTGGCACTCATATTCATGCTGGTTTGTGTTGATGCTAGGGCCGCTAGGGTGCTGGCGGCCACCACCCTGACACTACTGTAGTTCCTGCAGAGTCAGGAATTCTGAAGAAAACTGCTGAGTTTGGGAGATTGAGGCGTGGCCGTTGTCTGTTACATTCATTCGGTGCTTGCCTTAAGGCCGAAAAGCGCAAGAGCGTTGAGCTGTGTATTTCAGTGCAGTCGTGGGATACCAGATGCGGCTCCTGGGTATCACACCAGCCCGAAGCTTCAACGCTGCTTACCGGACACGAAGCGGGCGCTGCTACGCGGTGCGACCCCGACAAGGCTGAAGCATCACTGCAACGTGCCGATTTTGGGCAAGGGTTTTGAGGGCAGAGCCTGGCGCCAGCGACTTTGACGACAAGGTCTCACATGGCAGAAGCCATGCTGCATGTGCATGGTGGAGTCTGAGAGAGAAAGAGTCAAGCAGTGCGCCGGCGCAAGGCAGTCATGTCTGTAACGTCTGTATCAACGAATCAGCAGCTGAAGTGATGGTGCTGATCCAGAAGAACGACACACTTTGTCTTTTGTCTTCGCAGACCCTGAAATGCGCTTGCACGTTGTTGGCGCATCAGACAATGTGCCTGTATAGCGTTGTGATTGTATAAATTGGACGGGTCAAGGGCGGCCAGGCCATGATCCAGGCCGTGCAGGCCGCGCCGCGCGTAGCCACGCTGCGGTTTTGTGACGTCGCTCGAGGGTCATGAGTTTGAGCGATTCGCCGGTTTTGTGTCCCGCGTCACACTGCCTGTGCAACTTGGGGGTCCCCGTATCAGATGCTTGGAGTGCTGGGCAGATGGGCCAGTTTTTCCAGCGTGCCGTACTTCCGGACGGGTCATCTCCGCAAATTTGCACCGTGAGCCAAAGCATGACAGCATGACGTTCGTGTGCAGAGGAAGAGCTTCACAGCACGTTCTCGTAAATATCTTGCGTTGGTCTTCTCAAAGTTAAGGCAGGCCAGGAGTTATGAGGAGGTTGTATTGCCCCAGCACGGCTCCACACAGGGACGAAACACAAACGTTTGCACGTCTGGCCAGGGCAACCCTGCTTTTCCGGGCGCACCCTCAACCTGCACGTTGGTATGCTAAAGTGTGGTCGTGGGGGTTAAAAAAACCATGCGATGAACTACTGTAACAAGGCCAGCATTGAATCAGCCTAGGGAGGTTGCGTGCCGAGGCCCGATTGGATGCATTGTGACGTGCTCACATGCAAGCTCCTGGAGGCAGGGCTGAGTTTGTGTCCATGGCCCTCCTTGATTATGAAGCTTTCCCAGGAAGTGAGTGGTCAGATTGCGTCCAATTGTCGGACCTTTGGCGACCATCTGCAGGGGGCCATGCACTCAGATCTCATGGATGACAGGAGCTGAAACGCGCCCGTCGCAGAAGCGTCCCCGGGGTACGCAGGTTTGTGGAGGCGCGATGCGCCAGCTGCAAGCTGAGGCCTTTCAAAGCTTCCCGAGAGGTTGAGCCGAGCGGAGTTTTTGTCCCTGAGCAGACCTTTACCACGTCGGGCGAAAAGGCAGCCCCGCCCTCGGAAGGAAAAAGATTAATTGGAGAAGCTGCTTTCGCGTCGTTTCGCAGGTTGAGGATTGCACTGACTTCTTGTCCACATTTGCCAACCTCAGTGCAGCGTTGTTGGCGGTCGCAGTAGACCTGGAGCGTGGGCCTGAGGCGCAGTCATGCGAGGTCCAAGAGGTCAGGTCTGTGGGTCAAGCCCTTCCATCGAGGCTCATTGTCACGCAGCCACTCCAGAGGACGATCGCCACGCTCGTCGAAGAGAGTACAGGGCGTGCGAAGCACCTGCAGCAGGCCCGGGCCGCCGCCTGCATTTCTCGGGTCGTCGAGCCATCTGATTCGCGCATTGGATCACCGCGCCCAGGTGAAGAGGCGATTTGCAGAGCTGCAGGCTTCGGATCTTTCCGGGTTTGGCACATCACAGGACAGCACATGTGCAGGAACGGTATGCAAGAACTCGACAAAAGACTTTGGATGCCAAGTCTAAGACCGGCCCTCAGCACAGTCGGCCTGTGCATACAGCCCCACATGTTCGGTTCTTGCAGCTTCGGAGGCTCGGAGGAGGTGAAGGCTCCTTTGCACTTATCAGTCTCTCCATCTCGAAGACGTAGCACGTTTTTGTGGCCCGCGTTGGTGCAGGTGACAAGCGCTGGAGGTGGCGGAAGTCGCCAGCGACACAGCATCCCCCGGCTTGCACTGTTCCAGGTCATGGTCACTGCATCGCTTTGCAGCGGAGCAAGTTAAGGACTGAAAAGACGGCAGTGGATCAGTGCTTCCTGCTCGCTTCTGGCACAAGCTGATGCCAGTCTCCCGTAACTGGCCCCTTGTTGATTTGCACTGTCCGTGACCCGAGACTAAAGACTTGACTAGCATTCGGGTCTCGATGGCGAAACTGGTGTCAAATCCCTTGTAACATTTTCGTGCTGGACTGTGCGAGTTAGCACCACATGTGCAGAGGCTTGGACTGCTTCTCTATAGGCTCAGCTTTGATGTCGGGGCTGGAACGTGCAATTTCGCACCAAACTCATCCGCTGCGCAACAGGATGACATTCAGCTCCAACGGAGTCCAGCATTGTTATACGGTCAATTCCCAACCAGAGAAGCAGCGATGCTTTTGGCATGGTTCTAGGCATTCGACATTTCATTCCGACATTACCGTCCATTCGTGCCGAGAATTTCTGGACCTTTAAACGCTGAATAAAGTACAGAGTAAGATAGCCCCTCCATGCTCACGCATATACCCGAGATGAAGCGTGGAATCGATTCGTCAAATTCCCCCTGCTCTTAATGGGAGAAGCGCTGCACAAGTCTGCTGCTGAATTTCCCATTCTGCGGAGAAAAAAACTGGGGATGCACAACAGGCACGCAGCCGTGTGTGACCTCGCACGTTGCGAAGAGGATTTCGGTCGATGCGAGGCTCTCGGGCTTCGGCTGTTCGGGGTTTGGCTGCCACAAGGAGCTCTTGGAAAGCGAGGCGTGTCTGCGGAAGCTGGAGGACAGGTCTGTGAAACGTTGAGCTTGGGCCAGCGGTGAGCGGTGAGCGGTGATGCGTTGCGTCAGGATGACAGCAGGGAGCGCCTGCAGCAGCTTGAGTTCGAGAAAAAGGCGGCGTTGATTTGGTGTTGCCACGGCTCATAAAAGCTTTTGGACTCTTGGAATGACGGGAGGCCATGCTCCGGCGAGTCTTGCAGCAGGGCAGGTCGTCTTTGCGACGCCTCCTTCGAGTTGCAGACAAGGTGCTCCACCTCAAACTATCCAACAGCACTATCGCTACTGATGTCATGGGTCGGAGTTTCAATGGAACCGGGCGTGGAACGCCGCAGCAGCGTAGCACGGCCCACGCCAGTATTCGTTGAACATCCAATTAGTGCTTCCGAACTTGAAATCGCGCTAATGCCCTGGTGCCGAACTTGCTGTGTGTTGCTGTTGTTTTAGGGTGAGAATAGTGGACAGTTTGGCCTTCGAAATCTGGAAGTCGCTACTTGTACTGCGCAGGGCCACAGTTTCGCGCGCCCCCGAAATCGAAAGCGCACGTCGCCTTGAGAAACACGCATTCACATGCATTCTCAAGTGCTCCCGCCATGCCGCCATGGTCCCTGTTCCCGGCGTTCCCGGCTTCCGCCTTCCAGATTCCATAGCCGCATAGCCGTCGCTCCCGCCGCAGGGATGCTCCTGGAATGCTTCTTGGTAGGGCTAACGGCTAAACGACCGCAAAGATCTTCAAAGCCACTGTTGACCGGTGCACAGCTAGGTCATGGCAGTTGCCTGGGTTCCGACTCTTCCGCGTGAACATACATACAGAATCAGAATAAGGCATCTGACGTGTCTTGAAGGACTGAGGCTATGTGGTAGTGTGGTAGTTTTCTTTGTGCTTTCTCAGACCTCCCGCCGCCCAGACCGAGACTGTTTTGGCTTGAGGGTCTTTGTTTGGGTAAGATCCCTGTCGGCGTGTGGGGGGTGGGGGCGCTTGGGCTTGAAATGGCTTGAAGAATTGCCTGCTTGTGTATTCAACGCCCTGAATGCTGGAGGTTCCACCATTGGATGACTTTCAAGGAGCCGTGGCCTCAAGCTGAAGCCTTCGTCAGGCTCAGAGGGGCGGGACATGCATGGGAGGTGATGCCTGGCGCAGACAAAGCCTCTGCGTGCTTGCAAGAGGCCGCAGTGAAATCGCCCTCCTTCGGTGGGGGGGGGGCGGGGGCGGCGTCAGGTGCAGACCCCCTTCGAGGAGGCTCTGCGGCCCACCAGAGGCCAGGCCATGGCTGCCACGGCGTTCCGTCGCTTCGCAGTTCTTCGCGTCAGGTGAGCTCCTCGGACAGGAGCTCCAGCCATTGCAAAGCGAGCAAAGCGAATGCCAGATTCAAGAGATGGGAGCACAGGATCTCTCGCCTTCGCCTGCAGCACACTGCGATGAACTGCATGTGAATTCTAGCTGGTACTGTCGAGGAGCACCAGCCGTGCGAAGACAGATTTGCTCGCTACCTCCCAGGCTCGCAATATCGGCACGTGGCGAGCAGTTCTATCATTGCGGTACGCGGGACTGGCACCAGGTTCGGACATCGAGGACGACGAGGACGTAGAGGATGGTGACAGGGACATCGAGGTGCGCGCATGAAGCCGAAACAACTCTTGAAGCACCAGGCCATCAGGTGACGAAGCATCTCAGGTCAGCGCCACCGTCCGAGCAGCAGGATGGTCGCCTGACTCGCCAGTCCGGCGAGTGACTTTAGCCCACCATGTGTTGCTCGCAGTCGATGGCTCTGTGCCAGGTCCTGTTCGAGGAGAGCAGGGCCCAGCCCGCATAGCCGCGCAGCCTTGCAGCCGGCATGGCCGATTAGGGAGAGCTTTGCGGTGTGACAGGGAACACTTCGCAGGAGCCGGCGTGCGGGGTCTGGGCGTCTGGTCTTCGACAGCACCGCCCTCAATCGAAAAGCCTTCTTTCCTCGATCATTTCGTTTGTGGTTTCATCCTGTACCGTCGTGACACAGATGGGTCAGGTGAAGCATCTGCACATGTCCTGAAGGCATGCAGAGGCTGGGGCGAACTGGTCGTTTTGGGCCTGCTGCTTTCGATGCCGCTGACGACTTGCGACAGGCCCCGTCACGGCGACGGTGCGCGAAGGCTCGTCAAGACGTCCGCCCGACCTTTCTCAATGCCATGGCAAACCTCCCGAAGGCCAGAGTATGCCAGAGATCCCGGCTGTGCGGAAATCAAGTGAATGTGTGCAAAGTCTTTGACCTGCTTGCCAGTTCAGCCATCGATGATGCCAGCAGAGTTGGAAGCACAGGCTCGAACTGAACTTTCGAACACGGAGCAATCGTCCACTCTTAGGGGCAGATCGTGAGGACTCCGACGACGAGGACTTGGAGCTGGGACGTGCTGCCAGAGGCCGAGTGGAAAGGTTCGAAGGCGCAGGGCTGCAGGCCAGTTGCGGCAAGTTGCTCCATTTCTGTGTCGTCTAGAGATGTCCTACAACGAGGCACCATCGCCCCATGTTGAATTTCAACTTTCGCCCTTGATTGCGGAGCTCACCTGCTTCGTGCACATTCTGCTTGCGGCGGCTGTTGGCCTGCATATCTACGTTCGTCTTGCAGCAAGAGGAGCAGCCGCAAAGACTCATCGAGCGCTACGTGAAGCGCATTCCGGAGCATCTGGCAGCTGCTGCTGAGACCAACTGGGACCGCTGCAGCCCTGGACTCAGGCGGGGTCGCCACGAGACGTCCGTCCTTTGCAGGACAAGCTTCAGGGGCGCGCCGCCGAACAGCCTCTGGGAAGCTTGGCCGGCTCCATCAGACGTGTCAATCTTGCATGTTGTTCTGTATTCTGCATGTTGGATGACAAGGTTGGCAAGCTGGAGATCTTCTGGATACATCTTCCAGGAGGGCATCCTAGCTTCATCTTGAGTGAGTTGATGGGAGTTGTGTAGTGCCTGCTTGCCAGAGGAAAAGTGGCATCTGCGGATTCTGCAGATGGCCTCGTCTGTTTTCAGTTTGTGCAAGGTCTGCCGCTGCAGGGCATTTTGCAGCTTCGAACTGCTCCATGGCTTCACTGTGCCTTTTGTGGCAGGTCATGCTGCCCATTACGCCCGCATCTTGCACCTCTCGGTTGCCCCTCAGGCAGAAAGCAAAAGCAGTATCCAGAAAAGTCAGGCAGCCAAGTCCCAGTCAGCGATTACCCCTCAATGCCTGGAATGAGCTTTGCAGGATGGAATCGGCTGGCCGCAGGCAGCATTTCCAGCCCTTCTGTGCCTGCGAGCCCCAAAGGCATATCGAATCATGTCTCTCGTGGCCTGAGGCACTTCCTGCCGCGATTGCACAAGTCAGGCATTTTATCTTCACCACGCTCCCGGTGCAAAGCAGCGTGGCCGAATTGGAGCCGGTCGGCATGCACACCCGCCGTGGCTCTGGGCAGCTTCAGGTCTAAGAGTCGTGGTCTTGGCGGCAGAGGACGAAGACAAGCGAATCTGCATCGATCGCGATGCGAATCGCTGAGAGTTATCCTACGTTGTAGCAAGTTGAACGTTGTGTCCTATCAGATCCATTTGTAAGTTGCATTCCTGCAACTGGTCTGTCAGTTATTGCCCATGTGGTGGTGGTGTTGTTGTTGGTGGTGGTCGAGGGTTGACCGGTGGACATTTTGCAAATTTCCTCCCAGCTGGGCGAGAAGCTGCTCGAGCTCAGAAATCGCCCGATCGGGAATCCTAGGTAATCGCGAGAATTCGCAAGAATGGGGGCATCGGTTCATCCTCTGTATCCGTGTTTGAAAGGAACACCAGCAAGGATGAAAGAAGATGAAAGATGGGCCAGCGCCAGTGTTCGTCGAGCTCTTTCGGGTTCATGCCCACTTTTGGCAGACACTTCTCGGACAAAGCAGAGCCTAGCAAAACTTGGCCTGGAGTTGGCGGAAGCATCCAAGGGCCATCCTTGGCCAACTCGGCCATTGGCGTTCACGTGGCAAACTCGTGGCAACGTTGCGTCGTCGGCCGTTCTTCGCACAAGCTGGAGCCCATGCCGGATTCGAAAAGCTTTCCTCGCCTAATGCTGCACTGACAGCATGGCTGTTGGAATCCTCAATCCTGAGATTGGCGATGTGTGGTCCCAGGTAGAAGCTGCCTACAAGCATTGTCGCTTCCGCTGGTGCAGATCTGAGTCTCAGGACAGGAAATCTGCACGATGTGGTGCTTCGCCGTCACAGGTTTCAGCTTACGCAAAGACTGCGAAGAGCGAAATCGGCATTTCTTCGTCTGCTGCTTTGACCAGGGTTCTAATCCAAACGACCAAGACCAACGTGGAAGAGTCAGGTCATCGCAAATCTGCACGCTCGATACGTTTCTTGGTCCTGCATTCGTCGCTGGGCTTGGTTTGAATCACTTGCGATGTGTTGCAAAATGCAAGACGTATCAATATGTTTGCCAATGTAGGTCAGGAAACAGCAAAGGTCGACACTTGCACGGGCTGAGGCCTCGCACGGATGAGGACCCTCCTGCGCCTCGTGATGCCGTAGGCCACTCCCCTTCTGACGTATTTGGCGTCCCCTTGGAGAATCCTGAAAGGCACAAAGCCAGCTCTGAAGCTGCAAGGCGTGGCCGGTTGAAGGCCCTAACCGGCCAAGTTCGGCTGCTGAGCCGATGCGAGCCGAGGCCCCGAGGGCACCGAGGGCCCCGCTGGCCCCGACGAGGGCGAGGCGGAAGAGGCCGAGGCCCTGGGCAATCGTCTGAGTGCCTGCAGCAACACAATGTGGCATCCTTCTGCACCGTGGCCCTTTCTCAGGACTCTACACTTAGAGTTGAAGAGTTGAGCTTCACTGCTTGGTAGTCCAGGAATCTCGGTTTTGGCACAAAGAACTTGCCACGTAGCTCCGAAGCGATCGTACGCCCTTCAACCTGAGAGGCGAGCGATGTACAGAGACAGCCCAACATCGCGTGCATTGACACGAAAGGAATCGACGATGGACGAAAGTTTTAGCAATCTCTCGTCCAGCTCTTCTCGTCTGTTTGGAGCTTTCAATGAGCTTGAAACGCTAGGAGCTACAGCACATCTGTCACCATACGGACACCATGTCAGACGCAGAGTTGCGAGTTGAACAGCCTGCATGTCTGTTGTGCTACAACTTAGATGTAGAATTGCGCACCGACGAGCCTAGCAGCACCGCAGCCGAGCATTCGCACGTGGGACCATGGCACAAGGCTTTTCCTTGCACTGCTCTCGTCTTCGTCGCAATGGGCCTTCATCCACGGCATGGGATGCGGGGCTTTAGCAAAGAGCCAAAAGTATCGCTCTGCAGACTCGGACAGGGACCTTGCAGACTTGTGTGTTGAGGGTGAGAAGCAGTCCAGCTCTTCCGGCGTTCAGTTTTCGACGCAAGCTCTGCGCATTGCCAGCATTGCGTGTGATGCAAGTGGGGGTACCCGGGGGGCCCCGGCCTTGAGCGCCCCGGCCTGTGCTCATCACGCTCCAGGCATCGGCCAGCGAGAAGCCACAAGTGCAACAAGTGCAACAAGTGCAAGTTTTCTCAGAGGTGCGTCGCGTTCTCAGCGCTCTCAGCGCTCTCAGCTCGGCTCGGATCAGCTCGAGACTGACGAGCCTGACGAGCCTGAACCATGGGATGTGGACGATCTGAGCTATGGGCCCAGCTTCGGACCAGAGGAGCTGGACGCAGACATTCTTCGGCGCTTGACACGTTCGCCTGCTTCATTTGTCGTGGGAGGGATTCTGGCCAAGACCGACAACTGTGAAGTTCATCTGGCAGCTCAAATTTCAGACAGGACCAAGCTTGTAGTAAAGCGAGTCCAGAGAAGCCGAAGTGCACAGCCATATCCCACGCATGTCAACGAGATTAGATGCTTGGACCGACTACGCCATCCTTGTATTGTGAGACTCTTGGGGGTCATTGAGGCAGGCGACAACTTGGACATCTTGTTGGAATACTGCGACTCTGGTGCTCTTCGGAATTATGTCGAACTAGGTTCTCCTCAAATTCCTTCCGTGCTTGCAGTGCTTCGTGATGTGATCTCGGCGCTGGTCTTCATGCACACAGCGCGTTTCGCTCATCTCGACATTAAGCCGCACAACATTCTCGTCAAATCGGAGGATGCGCCTTGGCTCAAGTTACAGTGCTGTACTTGAAACGTAGAAGCCGATTTCCATGTCATGCTCTTCTGACCCAAATGCTCCTACCGAGACCCTGCGTGGCAAGCTCTGCGATCTTGGCACTGCCACTAGAATTGGGGCTTCTGGGTGTTTGCGTGGGCTAATGGGGACACCTGGTTACCGAGTGACTTGCCTGATTAGCAGGTTGTTGCACCGACTCCAGGACCGCAGTGATTTGCGTTGCGATCCGCTCTAATGCGAGGCTCCTGAGATTGACGGCGGTCTCGAGTTCAACGCTTACAAGGCGAGCATGTTGCATTTTCAATGTAGAGCCATTGTGTGGTGGTCAAGCTGCCAGGCCGATGTGTGGTCCTTGGGCAAGGTTGCTGCCTTCGTGGAACAATGACGCATGGCAGGAACATACGCAACTCTGTATGGCTGGCGGATGCTGGCGGCTATTGAAGTCCTAGTCGTCTCGAGTGCATTGCCTGATTTCAGGTTCTGGCAGCTCTCTGGAGGTGTGCTACGACTCACTGCTGCATGATGATCCACGTCAAAGACCTTCAAGCACAGGTTGTGGGCAAATTTTCCAAAATCGCTGCGAACATGATCCGTGCAGATGCCACAATCTGCCCTGATTTCAACCCCTTGCAGAGCTGTGGTGTGCCTGACCTCCGCAAGTCTCTCGAGCAAAGCAAGAGCGAGCTTCATGTCTCTTTGCTGAATGCAAGGCATCTTGACGCATCTGCAACTACAGTAGCCGTTCAGTTAGTCGTGTGGCTCAGTTCCAGGCAGCTTTAAGAAGGGTTTTGAGAAGGTTACATCCGTCCAAGGCCTCGACCCGAAGCCATGGCACCAAGCCGGGGCCAGGAAAAGGAGACCGCGCCGGATACTTGACCTGTCGCTACGTCTGTTGGGCGGTTTTGAGGAAGGCCTAGTAGTCGCGAAATCTCCTGATTATATAGGCCCAAACCACATGAAGTCGGAGGCTTGGGCATTCGCGTGCTTCCAGGGCAGACATGTTTCGAGCGGCCGCCCCCGCTTGCTGCACCCAAGGCAGATCAGTCGCTGGGATCCCGCACTCGCACAGAATCTCCTGGCCCTTCAGCAAGAAAGGCGTGCGAGTGGGATGGCGACGTTGAAGACATAGTGACATAGTGTTAGCTACATGAAGTCTGACAGCTGACAGGGCGGCATGGTTGCGAGCTCCCAGCTGAGTAAGGCGCGGCCAGGCTTCAACAGGTCGTGCTTCTGAAGTACATGTCTCTCTCGGAGGATCCGAAGGCAAATGATAAGATCCCAAAGTTCCGCATCGTGATGTGCTGGATGTTGTGTTTTGCCAGCAGTGGCTACAAGCCGGCCTTGCTGCGAATCAAAGCTTGTATTGCAGAGCCTTGACATGCTGCGACCGAGAGCACACCAAGGTTTGGCTGCAGACTCGTCTGCCAAGCCAATCGAATTCTTTTCGGGGCGCTCCTACCAGCAATTCGTCAGGACGCCGAGAGCACATCCTTGGTTGTGTGCGAGAGAGCTGCGGCTTGTGCTAGGACCTTGAGCTCTCTGACACGGAAGCTGGAAGCCTGCTGTCTGCGTTCGCGTCAGGCCTTGACAAAGCACGGTGGCATTTGTCAGACTCTGACTGTGAAGGTTACATGCTGACGCAGATCCTCGGGGGAACCTTGGCCGATCGAATTGGGGGCAAATGGATTCTACAGCCTCATCCTGAGAGCACTCGCTTGCCGACACCGCATCAAAAGCAAAACTGTCTCGCTCAGATTTGCTTTTCAGTTGTGCTCAGGCTTGCAATTTGCGCAGTCAGCTCTGTACTCGGCCAGGATTGAAGCGCTGTGCCTTTGTGCCATGCTGTGCGTTCTGCCGATGCCGAGGCATGGGGTCCATTGTGGCGCCCATAGCACTGCAGCAGGTGCCCGTCATCAGTTCTTCTCGCCTGCTATTTCTGGTCTCGGATGGCAGGGCTTCCGGGCAACATACTGCACTTACTTTATGATGGGCTTTCTGGAGGCCATGCAGCGTCAAGCCGAGTCTGCAGGATGTCGAAGGGGCGGGATCTGAAAGGGGCCATCCTTTCCTGCCACCGGGTCGATGCTCTCCAAATGGATCCCTGCTCGTCTCTCAGTCATCGAGAGAGAGGCAGTGAGATGTGGTAGGAGCGATGCCCCTTCAAGAGGTCACTGCAGTCACGTCATGTCAATCATATCATGTCGGGCAACTCGAAGACTGGCTTAAGTGCCGCCGCAATTTTTTGCGACCATCGACCATGTTCCCCGGCGATTTATTTGATCTCGAAGGTTAGATAGCTCGAGGAGTTTAGGATAGTGTAGAGCTTGCTTCACAATTGTTTGCATGGGGGGTATTTAGTGTCAGAGCTTGATCTTTGTGACAGCACGAGGAACAAGCCGGGCCCAGAGAGTGATGATCCGCCGCTCAACCACTTGGTGGTGGCGCAGCTGAGCAAGACCAAGTTATGTGCGATGCACCTTGCCCAAAATGGCAAGATGCCACTGCTCTGCAGACCTTTTCCTTCGGCTGGTGTGCAGCCGAGGTTTGCGCGTGGTATCGTCCTTACTTGCTTCGTGTCAATGTTGTGGCGCACGCCTGGCAGCTCACATCGAATCCAGGTTCTTGCAACGATGCCTCGTGCCGCTTCGCCCACTCCGCGAGGGAGCTGCGCATGCCGCCGGACTTGACCAAGACGGTGACTCGCTTCGCAGCCAGAGACAGAGACGTGTGCTGCTGTCCGCAGAGCTTTGAGTTTAGTACAAACTGTGGCACTGCCGTGGCACAGTGACAACGCTCGCAGCGGAGCGCAGCCTTTGCTCGACTGGCCGCTTCTTTGCTGCGCCGCTGAGGCCATCTGCCGAGGCTTCGTGCGCGGGGACTGCCAGGATCCGGCCTGCAAATTCGCCCACGGCGAGAGCGACCCGTGGCGGACATCGTCATAGATGGAGTCATCTTGAAGAAATTGCTATAAACTAAGTACTCACTTCACTCACTTTGCAACTTGCATAAGGAGCTCCGTGTCACACAGAGTGTGCCGCTCGGGATGCAAGACGAGTTCATGGAACAGCTCTGGCATCTTTTGTATTGGCGAACTGTCTGGTGGTGCGGCACGCTTCTGTTCGCAACCGAAACCACCTCCCAGCCCGACCAGTGTGAGAAGCGCTCCGCGTAGATGGATATCATGAGTTTAATTCATTTTTGTATGTCTCATGCAAGCTCAGTCGTAAGGTACAAGACGCAGCTCCCCGACGGAAAGTAATGCTTTTTTTTTTTTTGTTTTGTGTGTGTGTGGGTTTCAGCCGAATCCAAGTCTGGGCAACGTATATTTGATCTGTCTGCTTTCCGTGCAATTTGGCGAGGCTATGCAATTTCTATGCTCGAGGACATTGCAAGAAGGTGGCGAGCTTCAAGCGCCGCAGAATTCCCGATCCTTGCAAGTGACACCGTCTTGAGAAAGAATAGCGAGTGGTCAGCATCTATCACCTTGAGGGCCACAGATGCCGACACGCTCACGGCGCAAAGGAGCTCAGAAGCTTCCATCTTGAGGCGACTCCGGTTTTTGAGCAGTGAGCACACGTCGCTGTACGCACTAGGCCAACTTGGGCATGTAAGGCTAGACATCTCAAATCTTTGCAATTCTTGAGTTTCAACTTCCCTGATGCAATCCTCGTCCGCCGGCATCATCCCCAATCTTCGGGGCCAACTCTCATGAGTTTGCTTCCACACGCTTGAAAACATGCGGTTTTGACCGAATTCTGGCGCCTAGTCAGTGGAAGATTGCGACAGGCTTCGAGAGAGGGCCTGCAGAAGAGTGGGCCGAAGCTTGGCATCTTGGCTCCCGCTTCCTTCACGGTCCAATCTGTGGATCCAAGGAAGCCACTGAGCCCAGGCCGCGTTGACAAAGGCTTTCGACTTTCAAGTCTTCGAAGCGCCAGTGCGTGCCGGCAGTTGATTCTCCGGCAGGTCCCGGAACACCTGCCGAGTCGCCCAGCCCACGGAAAGGCCGACATGAGCGTAGTCTTCGGGGCCGAGATGGGCCGAGTGTGCAGGGTAGCTGCTTCCTTTTGGGTGCTTGTCTGGTCCTTCGTGGTCTACATACGCGAACACATGTGCACACGCTCGTACGCGCGCGTGCTTGCGAGCGTGCGTGGGTGTGTTTTTGTGTATGTATGTTTGGCATTGGCATGTCAATGCTTAAATCGTTACGGATTGACTTTCCCCATTCGGCTCGCCTGACGTCGGCTGCAATCCATGCCTTTTTCACCTTTGCTCGATTCTGAAATCCGTGTCTCCTATCCCTGCTTCACCACCACAAGAAGCAATTGCCATTGTCCGACTCTGAAGAGGCTTGTAAAATCAATGCCTGAAGCGACATCGTTCCAGTCGGTGTTTTGTCATGTTGACATCACTTATTCGAGAAAGCGCAGGTGAGCACCTTCTCACTGCGCCAGCCTTGGCAAACAGAAGGCAATGTCATGAGCTCGCTGATCGTGTCGTCTTCGTCTTCACACATGAGCTTTTTGGGACAGGTTTCCTCCAGATGCGGAGCCACATGCTCCACCGGGCCTGGAGCGATCCGCAACTTCGCTGCCGTCCTCTCCGAGCATGAAGGCTCGATTTGACATTTTCGACCGTCTCAAATCGCAACACTCAGAGCATCTATCCGAGAAGAGGGTCACCATTGCTGTCACACGATATTACACGATGATGCCGGTTTGCGCACATGTTGAGACATCGTCATCCATTCGAATGGATTTTGGTGGTTGGCCTTGGTACCAACTAGTCTACTGTTTGTCCGACTTCCCGTTCGTTTCAGAGTGCTAGTGCATCAAGGCTCCAAATGCTGGATGCTTCGAATCGCAAAGTCGAGCGTCTAGCAGCCGAGACACATGCGAACAGCCTCGAACGTGAGTTCGGCATGCTCGAGGGCCGATGATGGGCCAAGACAACAGCAAGACTTGGCTTCGTGGCACTTGTGGTCCTTGTATGTTGTGGTTCTTTGGAGACGGATCAGGACGGCCACATGGAGGGCCACCCCATGCCCGGCCAACTCTTCGATGATCAGCCGCTTGGGCCACGTGCGACTCGAGTCTTTAAGAAAGATTAAGAGAGCTCTGTTCGTGTATTTCTCTCTCCTCAGGTCTCCGCCATCTCCGCATGGCCAAGTTGTGGAGGTACCAATGAAGGTTCCACTGCCCATTCGACCGATGGATCGAAGCCCACTGCTACCTCGCTGTGGGCCAGGACACCAGCTTGAAGCTTCTGAGAATTTCGAAATCGGCTCTGGCAGTACAAAGCTCTCGTTGGTTGTCAAGCCCGTTCTGCATTGTGTAGAGGACTCGGCCCCGTCGAAGACTTCCATGATGTTCCATCCTCCAACTTGGTGCCCACGCCCCTTGGCTACAAGAAGGGCGGCTCTTCTCCGCGATGCAGCATAACGCCGCACACCCTCACAAAAGTCAGCTGCTTTAGGGTATCTTGACGTGAAACCTGCATGATCACGGACTGGGTCTTGTGTTGGCTTGAGGCCACCGCTTGTCTGGAGCCTACAACGTGCAGCTGAACGGGGGTTGCAAAGAGCTGAGTAGTCCAGCCTTTGTTTGAAGGCAAGCTGGACACCTGGGCTGCCCACCGCTCCGTCACTGCCAAATCTGAAGTCTTTGCCTTCTTGGAGGATCGGCGGGAAAGTGACTTTCACATTTGAACCTTAAGTTGTGAGTATGGTTACTCGCTGCTAGGGCTCCAGACATGCCGCTGTCGCAGCTGAACGCTGAACATGCAGATCCAGTTGGCCCTGGGCTGAGCTATGAGAAACAGGTCACAGATCAGCGAATGCGTTGCGCCAGTACTCGTAGGCTTAGCAACGGCGATGGCCGCTGCAGCCATGGAACACACGGCAGCCGCTCGAAACGATTAAGTAGCATGTGCCATCTGCGGAGAACACCTATTTCACGCAGCAGTGTCCCCACACCGGAGAAGCTGAAACACCCTTGCCCAGTGAGCGATTCTTCATCCGTGAAGCTGTGGAGGGTTTTCAAGGAAACCCCGTAGCCAGCACCTGCTGGTAAGAGTAAGTCAACCAAAAAGTTCTTACGTCTCAGAGAGCAATCCACGTCCGGTGGCCTCGAGCCACAAACACCCCATCAAGCCCAAGCACGTAAAAGGACCGCAACACGCGCCGAAAGATACAAGCCTACTTTTTAGTGTGGAAAGGCGAAGTATTTTCACTCAGCCTTGGATTTTTGAAGGCCGCTAGCCTGGCTTCGATGCACGCCTGGACTTGGGCCAGTGCGGCTGTCAAGGCCGAAAAGAAACGCTACGACGCGAACTCTGCCATGTATATACAATCATGAAGTCATTGTACTGGTGGCTTGGAAAGCATCGCTCCGTGTGTCTGCTGAAGGGGCATGTTGTGGTACCTGCAAGCCAAAACCCAGCCCACAGAGACTGCAGTCCTAAAGTCTTCTAGCTTGTAGAGAGTGTGCCAGGCTCAGATGAACTACGCAGCCTCGAGTCCGGCTCCCCAGGTAGCCAAGGGCAGCGATTTTTTCGGGGTCGTTTACCATCTTCCCGTTCCTATTTCCGTTTCCGCTCCGTTTGCTGTTGTTGTTGCTGCCTCTGAAATGTCGCTTGAAGTCTAGCTCTCGCTTCAGGACACGAAGACACAGAGAACCAGCAGCTCTAACAAGGTAATAAGGTCGAGGTGGATGTCGGCGTTGAGCGTTGGCCGACTGGATGCTATGGTCAACAGATTAGCCACAACACTGATGACGAACAAAATGTCGAAGCCAGTGTGCAAATCACATCCACCAAAGACTTGACATATGAGTCGCGTTTTAGCCGAGTTTATGAGTTCATTATGAGTTTGTACAAATCGAAATTTCCACCGTAATCTTATATCGTCCACAGCATTCCCTCTGGAGTGCGTAGATTCGCGTGGGCTTTTTGTAGGCCGATACAGTATGCTGCGTAGACTGCATAGGCTACGTTGTTTGATACTGTGTTATCTGTATTGTATCTGTTGAAAGCGAGAAGCTTTTGCACATTGCTGGATATTGTAGTCCTGCTTGGAGTGTCCGGGTAAGAGTGGTGCTTAAGCAGCT